GAGCTCATGGAAAGTCATCTTGAGGCCTTTAGGGCCGGGTTAGTTTCAGGACAGATTGGGGCTCGTCTAGGTCCTGAATCTTATGGAGTTCAGGGATCCATCAGGGAGGGAGACCCCATTTCTAGTTTCTGCTATCAGGGGGCAGGGGTGTGTGGGGCATTCTGTCTCCAAGAGAAACCATTGCATGATTGGATAGTTGAAGAAGTTTCGCGAGCCATTCGCGAGGGTCTGCCAGACATGGTCGTGAGGATCACTGATAGATTGATAGCGAGGCTTCAGGATCAGACATCTGTTGTTCAGTCAGCAGATGTTGCCGTTGGGGTAACGCAGGAGCGAGAGTCGGGCTGGGAGTCGGAACGGAAGAGGAAAATGGATGAGACTCAGGTTGCCACAGGTTCAAGTAAGAGGCCCAAGAGTTCAGAATTGAGGACGAGGAACTATCAGAGCCGCAGTCGATGCAGGAAGTGCGGAAGGACGCACATGGGTGTGTGTAGGCGTAGAAGTGGTGGCGATGCTAGGTGTTTCAAGTGCGGCCAGATTGGTCATTTTAGCAGAGACTGTGTTGTTACCATCGCCCATGGACTTGATCCGTTGTGTTTCCATTGCAGTCAGAGGGGCCACAAGAAGGCCCACTGTCCGAGTTTATATTCAGCAGGGCAGGCGCCAGCTCCTGCCCTTGGAACTTCAAGTACCGTCAGTGGTTGTCAAGGCCGGGCAAGGGTGCCTACGGCTCGGAGCCGAGTTTCTCCGGTAGATTTCAGCAGGGATCCAAGAGAAACCATTGCATGATTGCATAGTTGAAGAAGTTTCGCGAGCCATTCGCGAGGGTCTGCCAGACATGGTCGTGAGGATCACTGATAGATTGATAGCGAGGCTTCAGGATCAGACATCTGTTGTTCAGTCAGCAGACGTTGCCGTTGGGGTAACGCAGGAGCGAGAGTCGGGCTGGGAGTCAGAACGGAAGAGGAAAATGGATGAGACTCAGGTTGCCACAGGTTCGAGTAAGAGGCCCAAGAGTTCAGATTGAGGACGAGGAACTATCAGAGCCGCAGTCGATGCGGGAAGTGCGGAAGGACGCACATGGGTGTGTGTAGGCGTAGAAGTGGTGGCGATGCTGGGTGTTTCAAGTGCGGCCAGATTGGTCATTTTAGCAGAGACTGTGTTGTTACCATCGCCCAGGGACTTGATCCGTTGTGTTTCCATTGCAGTCAGAGGGGCCACAAGAAGGCCCACTGTCCGAGTTTGTATTCAGCAGGGCAGGCGCCAGCTCCTGCCCTTGGAACTTCAAGTACCGTCAGTGGTTGTCAAGGCCGGGCAAGGGTGCCTACGGCTCGGAGCCGAGTTTCTCCGGTAGATTTCAGCAGGGATTCGAGCAGCACTGAGTAATGGAGGTATGTAACTTTGTTTTTGTCAGCTTATGTTATGATTATATTGTTATGGTTTCTGCATCAATTGTGGTATAAGTGTTGTGTTATGGAGTGGCTTGCTTGTGATTATGTCATATGCCATTTGCATACCTCGGATAATTGGTTGGTAGTTAGGGGATGTGCTCATATGGAGAAGTTTCGGAGGATGCAGTAACTGTAGCATGGTAGGGAGAGATCTGGTTCGTTTCGCTAGTGGATAGTGGTTTGGATGGAATGGTCAAATTCCTACCTGGCGGGCTTGGGTTCCCCAGTAGAAGTTTTGGAATGGTAGTAAAGGTCGGGATCTCTTTTGAATGTGAAGCAGCAAGGGGTAAGCAGGATCGAAGTGGGGGAGAACCCTCCGGGTATACATGGATAAGAGTCACTCAGAATGAGTGCGCGGCCTCTGAGAAGAAGTGGTAGTAGCACAGTGATGGATGGATTGAGAAGTTCAGAATTGGGAGTTCGAGAACTTTTCCCAGCAGTGGGTTCATGTAATGGAGATGGTTAGAAGCTGGTTGGGAATCCAGGATTTGAGGACCACCTGTAAAGGCTCAAGTGAGTCGGAATGAGGATCCGGAGAAAACGGTTAGCAGGAGATGTCTTCGTATTAGTAGCCAGTGGCAGAGCCAGCATGCAGGATTATGTGGATTCAGGAGTTGGGAGGTTGGAAACTTCCCAACAGTAGCTTCTTGTATCCGGATTAGTAGACGGTTGGTTTGGGAACCAAGCCGGAGAATTCCTCGACGAAGCGCTAAGTATATCAAGGATATAAGATGTCGGGGATGATGCAGAATTCAAAGACTGAGGGCTGGTTTGAGAAATCGGGATGAGGAATCACTAGCGGGACTAGGGATAGTCAGGATGTCCTCGGGATAGATAGTAGTAGTAGTGTTGTAAGTCTGCGGGGGTAGCCGTAGCATTCACTAGCAGTCAGATAGTAGTAAGTGGTGTTGTAAGTCTGCGGGGGTAGCCGTAGCATTCACTAGCAGTCAGATAGTAGTAAGTGGTGTTGTAAGTCTGCGGGGGTAGCCGTAGCATTCACTAGCAGTCAGATAGTAGTAAGTGGTGTTGTAAGTCTGCGGGGTGCCGTAGCATTCACTAGCAGTCAGATAGTAGTAAGTGTGTGTAAGTCTGCGGGGTAGCCGTAGCATTCACTAGTAGCCAGATAATACTAGAGAGTTGTAAGTCGCGAGCGTAGTCACAGCCTTATCAGATTGGTAGGTGGCATGAGCGCGTGTTGGACGCGGGAAAGTAGTAACTCACCAGTTCTAGTGCAGCAGTGAGGATATGGGAATCCACGGGTTAGATTTCGGATTTCCCAAATGGTTCAGTTATGGCTAAGTCAGCAATTTGGGCTATAGATCGTCACATCAGTTATGAGATCAGAGTAGCAGTGGACCGTTGGGGTTCGGGTATGTTAAGGGCTACCGTCAGTCTGGGAACCATCATGTTGATTAGCATGGAATGGATGATGTCAGGATGTGATGTATGGACCCGATCGGTTGGATCGGAAGGTTGTTAGAGCCACAGTGACAGGATAACTAGTGGAAACTAGTCCTAGAGGAAGATTTCATTCAGAAGTCGTGGAAGCGACTAAGTGCGGGTCCCTTGACTCCACAGTTGGGTTTGAGTTTAGTGTTTCAGGCAGCTCAGTGTTTCAGCCAGTTTAGTGTTTCAGGCAGCTCAGTGTTTCAGCCAGTTCAGTGTTTCAGGCAGCTCAGTGTTTCAGCCAGATCAGCGTTTCAGGCAGTTTAGTGTTTCAGGCAGGTTCAGTATTGCAGGCAATTCAGTGTTTGGAAGGTTTCAGGGTTTTGGGTCAGTATTGTATTTGCGTTGGAATGCAAGTGTTGACGGTATAGTTGGTTGATTTGGAAATGGCAAGTCTCTCTCAGTAGGATCAGCTGAGCCTTCGGCCGAGTATAGTGATATGTAAAGATAGCTAGGCAGGTAGCTTTTCTTTCAGGATGGAAGGCTCGAGTTAGTAGGAGTTGAGTAATCAGATGGGATATAAGCAAGCTATTTCCAGCAACATCGTTTCAGTATGAGCGGAAGAATGGATAGAACAGTTATAGATAGTCGAAGTATTTTCAGGAGTCGCTGGAAGCGACTAGGAGATTGCGATGGAGTATAGTGACCGGTGGGAGTCCGGTAACTCGGATATCGGTAGATTAGTTGGACCAAAGTGGTCTCAGTGCATCCAGTAGGCGGATGAGGGGTACAGAATTGCCAGTCAGAGGAAGTAACGCTAGAAAATTATGGAAAGGAGAAGGATTCAGTATGTACCAACGGTAATGATCGGCATGGTGAGTGGCTGGAGTTGGACAAAAGGGTGTTAGATTTCCAGATAGAGAGTTGGAGGCAGTTCGAAGGCAGTTGATCATAGCAAACTTCGAGGACGAAGTTTAATTTAAGTGGGGGAGATTTGTAACACCCCAAAGTTTGGAAAGTCAAGAAAAGAAAGAAGACCTCAAGTTTAGGGGAGACTCGGCGAGTCCGAGCGGGATCCGGGTCGTGGTGTAAGCGACCGACTCGGCGAGTCGGCCAAGGAGACTCGACGAGTTGGGTCTGATCGAGGAAAACCCTAAATTCGGGACTTGGAGCCTATATAAGCGTCTCATTCTCCTTCCTAGGGTTCCTTTACTGCCTCTCTACCCCAGAACACCAAACCCTAGCCGCCATATCCGTTTTTGAGCTAGATCTTGCCTTGAAGAATGCACTAAAGCTTGGAGGAGGAAGAAAGACCTTGGAGGTGCAAGAAGGGACTGTAGATCTGGGATTGTGGAGTCATTTCAGAACAATTGGAGGTAATAAGCTGTTGCTTGGACTCCCTTTGCATCTAGATCTATTCTTATGTGTGAGTTTTGGTCATTGTTGGTTTGTTATGTAACCAATTCGAGTTGGAGGTTCAGATCTGAGGTTGCTACCTCAGATCCATGTTGGTTTTGGTCTTGAATCCCCTAAAGTATCAGCCCTTGGTATGTTGAAGAAGCATGGTTGCCATAAACCCTAATTTAGTATGTTTTGAGCATAGATCTCTCAATCTACACGTAAAGTTTGCCACTTTACGTGGGGAATAGGCCCTAGAAGTATGGATCTATGAGTTGGAAGTTCTGTTTGGCTCGAAAAGCCACTGCATGGATTGAGGACTGGATAGACTCGCGAGTCCTTCGAGTGGACTCGGCGAGTAGCTTGAAGATGAGGAGGAACTCGACGAGTAGGATGAGCAGCTCGTCGAGTCGGATGAAGTTAGGCATGGCCTCGGCGA